GTCCAATCCTCTATTAAACTTGCGAAAAATATAAAAAAATATTTCCAATAAAATAAAATGACCAAAATACCCCTGAAAATTTCAAAAGGGTATTTTGGTCATTATATTTTATCAAAAAAATATTTTTAATTTTTTTATAGGTACGCCCCAATGAGAATATGGCACGTACCAAATTTCATATTCATAAAATTTGTATTAAAAAAATTAAAAATAAAATACTTTGAGACGTTGGATCTAAGATCAAACAGTGAGTTGCTCTCTTGATCAAAATTGGATGGCTGGATGGTAGGGGAAGCATATATCTTCTATGCTGTAGGGGAAGTATAGAAACCTTTCCCCTAACATAAAGCTGGTTCCAAAGATAAACTACAATACTAACATGCAGATAAAGTAAATTTCCTGAAAAAAACATAAAAATAGAAACCAAGAAGACAGCAAAGGAGAATACAGAAGGAAGTTTTGTGCGGGATCTAGGTTCTGACGATAGGAGCTGCTACAACCAGCAATGTAAAGATTTGCGGACAGCTCATGGACCTATTCTTAGCTATGTATGAATGAAGACTATTCACAATATCGAGTCAACACAAACAATTCCTTTCAACAGCTCCTTGGTTGTTGCTAAAACTAGCTTTTAACCACATAAATTATCCTCTATATATCACCTCTCCAACACTGATCAAAGTTGGCAAGACCAAAATATGGATTGCATCCAACACAAGCAAGCAACTGGACAGCAAGCTTCTCGTCAAGATGCTGAAACTTTAAACTACCAAATTATTTTTTATTTTTCAAATATGAGGAACCTTTAATTTTATAAATTGGTGTTTTTCGCCACAAGCTAGGCACAGTTAGACAAGGAAGATTCAAGCTTTTTTTTGTTCAGGTGGATCAGCTTGGTTTGCAAGAGAAAGGTTCAAACCCAATACCTCTCTTCCTACACCCCAGGTGTCTCATTATCAAGCCCAAGGCTTGGTTGACGGTGCAGTTTCTGAACCTTAGCTGCCCAATGCATACTCCTTTTTACAGAGTTCTGATATACTTTGTAACTTCTTTAGCAGTCTTAATTTTTCATATTCTATTTAAATCCCTTTTTTTTTCAGGGTTATAGCCCTATGTAACGAATCTATCTCACTTGATCCACAAAATCTAAGGTTGGATGAGTAATAGAACCATGCATTCGAGAAAACATTTTTAGAAAGTGAATATTATTATTATTCTGAAGAGTTAAAAGAAGGCTTAAAATGTAATATTAAGACAAATAAATGCAATTGTCTTAGATGAACAGGAAGCTTTTTGGTCACGAACCTGGACCCGTCCTTCATATGAGATAAGAGTGCCACCCTTCACATCTGCAAGAGTCTTTGGTGTCACCTATAGAAACCCCAAAATGTTAGAAGGGAACAAGCTTGAACAAGTTGCCAAATAAAGTTTCACTTCATGTACCTCCATACAGTATTCATTCTGATTCTGGATCAAGTGGTTTAGAATTTCTGTTCAAGTCAACTAAGGAAAACTCATAAGAATATATTTAGTCATAGATTGAATGGTTGACTAACTAGAGCTAATCACACAACAGTAGAAATATATCAGAAAGGGATCCCATATGAGGATACTTAGGTCGACAATAGCCCCAAGGTTGTCAGAGTTGGCAATAAAAACATACTCCTTTCCCTGTAAGCATAAAAGGAAATTTGTAAGTAAGCAAATCTGAAAGTAAGAAAAAATGTAGTTAAGTTTCTCGACATGCAAGTGTGCCGCCTAACAGTATGGACACAAACCTGTGACAATAGTGCATCAAGCTTGCCACTGTTCAATAAGGAGGGGAAGACATCACCATGGCCGGGAGGATACCTTCACACGAGAAGTGCATGCATGAGCGCAACCTTTGACAGGCTTACCTGACTGACTACATAGATGAAACCCCTAGTTGCACTCTCAGGAAGAAAGGAAACAGATTCTATAGAAACATTCTAAAGCATGTATGAAATTTACATTGCCTAATGCTAAGCTCATTAATAAAGCTACTACTTTGAAATTGATAAAGCCCCCCCAGGACCATGATATTATATACGTAGGGAAAGAAAAGAAGTAATTAACAGAAGCAGCCTATGCATCAGCTTGTTACTATAAGCTAACTAATTATCACTACTACTATTTATTGTGAAATCCTAATAATCCTAATCCATTACTCACTAAAGAAACAACACAATCGAAAATTCCCATATATATAAGATGCCTTCTTATTTTACCAACAATTAAAGAGAAATGGAGATCATACTCTTCTGACATTTTTCCAGTAATGTTCCAGAATGACAACATCTTATTGCACTCTCTAGAGAATTTTGCAGATTTTTCAATAATATCAAGTAAATTATAATAGCCTTCTACAATCCAGCAAACTGAAAATCATAACTAGCAAGTCCCTAATTTGAAAATGACTTACCAACCATCCTTTCCCGCATTTCCCTTGCAAGGTAATGGCATAAAATCCTCAACAACAAGACGAGGGTATTGACTCTAATAAGGCAGTCCAAACCAAAGGAAATGTCAGTTCCAGGATAAACATCCATATTGCCATCATACTAAAAAAAACTTAAGCAGCACATGTTTCCTGACCTGATTAAAGGTGTGAATAATGATGTTTGAGTTGGAGTATTTCTCCACGATCTGCAAAACATGGTCAACCAATGGTGAAGTAAGAACAGCCCTCAAGATAATTCACATGAGATATCAAATAAGATAAGTAGCAGCACCCACCTTCAAGGTGTCATCGTGCGTATTGAATGAATTCATCAGGAGCAAAGGTACATTGCACCCGTATTTTGTGTTTAAATTCTGCAAAAAATAAATAGAGGAGTAGAGGTTATTACCAAAATAGGTTTGCAAACAGGACCAAACAGGACCGACTTGATTAGTATACAACTAATATGGCCACAACTTATTGAATGAGATAGTAATGAAAAAAATAAAGAGAAATTTATGCTCATGTCCCTCTAAATTTGCATGAATACATAAACCCCCCAAAATGTTGTATTTTATGTTCATACTCTTTTTGACCTTCAAGATCCCAAGTAATAAGTTAAGGGATGATTTCGGGTCATGAAGATCCAAAGCAATTTTCCTTTTTTTTTGCCCTTTTAAGTTATCACTTTCGGATCTTCAAGATCCGAAGTCATTTCATAGCTTTGGACCTTGAAAGTCCGAAGCCAATATCTCAAAAAATACATTTAGACCAAATTATAGCCATGGCTATTGCCTTGGAGAAAATGGGTATGATGTCCAAAAGCCCACAAGGCGAGGACGTTATAGCCATGGCCTTTGCTATAGACCTCACCTCACAAAATACATTGTGAGGCCGTGACGTTATATAACAATTTGAAATGCCTCTCTCGTCGATGGTATACAGTCATGGCCTCAAGGGCTCCATGGCCTCCCCACATGTTTGTGAGCTGAAGCGATTCCCTTAAAGCCAATAATACTTCACCACGGGTTTTGTACGAGATGAGAACTTCAAGGTTCCAAGAAGAAGCTCCAAAGCCAACAAATGACTTCAGATCTTGAAGATCCGAAGTGGGGCATTTTGGGAAAAAAAATAGAAGAAAAGGTATGAACGTAAAATACAACATTTGGGGAATTTTTATAATAGCAAAAGTTATGGGGAACAAGAGCATAAATTTCTCAAAAATAAAAGGTCACAAAAAGAAAGAAAAGACAAAGGAATAAAGAAAAAGGTAAAGATAGAAAAGAAAAGGAATAAAATAAAGAATATTCAGCATCACAAACAGACAATATGGTAATCACTGACCTCAATCTGGATCACAATTAGATCAAGAAAGGTCAAGCCATTCCGCACTTCAATGACAGATCTGCAAATAATTAAAGAAATATTAAAAAAATCCAATGACAATTTATATGGTAAAATCGCAAGGAAGACATAATCAGGCATTAGAAGCAATTTCCATCCCCAATGGGTATGAAAAAGGTTCACCTTTAGAAACTTGCATACATAAGAATTTCAAACATTAATGGAAAATCAAAGGATCCCAAGAAACTTTGGAAATGACAGAAAAGAAATGCACTAGTGAGCTTCTTAAAAAACTGGGCGAAGAATGTAAGTATAAAATACAGGAGATCATTTGCTAAGAATCGTTTACATCACAACATACAATGCCAAAAAGATCAGATTTTAGCCAAAATATTCAAGTCAAGGAATAATATGCACAATTACCTAGCTTTTTAAGGATGCAATTAAGGAAATTAGATACAGGTTAGTCAATGTTGAGTGATATACAGAAACTCTACTGCAAACTAACCATAATTGCAATTCTAACAAATGTTGCCACAAAAGTCTAAACAATTTTAACAAATGATTAACAAGAAGTAACTCTCTTAGAAAGATGTTCCCCTTATCTTCTCCCATCTACAGTTTTGATTGCAGTTTCTTATCCCATTTGCTGTTGTATGGAATTATAAAACAGGAGACATGGCGAACTTTCTATGAATAAAATATTTTTTTGCCCATAAAAATAACTCAAAATATATAGGAAATTGCTTGAGAAAGGAACACTAAATGGTAAATAACCTTAATGAATTGAAGTGCAATGAAACTTTTGTGAAATGGCAAAGAACTGAAAGAACATTAACATAAGGACACAAAATGAATAAATTTCAATACATACTGCGAAACATCATTCATGAGAGCATGGAAAACAGTATGTTGTATCTTTTGATTAGGTTTAAAAAATTAATGATCAAATAATTCAAATATCCAATAGATGCTGAACCATAGACTATTTAAGAACGACATATAAACTACTCATTAAGAAAAGAAGGATGATACAAATAAGAAAAAAATAAAATATTCAATGAAGAAGACATACAAAATACAGTTTATTTTATCATCTCACATTACGATCAGACTACAACGTTTATGAAATTGATAAATTAAAAAATACAATGCCATTTGGAATAACACTTACTTGGGACCAGTACACCCCATAGTTGTTCCCAGTCCCCCATTAAGCTTCAAAACCACAAGCTTGTCCAGAAGCTTTTTAATCTCTGATAAGTCTGAAATTTTCAGAAGTCACTAGTGAGAATCAGCTGTCAATAGTTAAACATGAATTCTCCACCCATATTGCTATTCTAATCAAATAAAATTAAATCATACCATCAGAAGGAGGTGCTAAAGTCTCATAGGGAACCACAACTTTATCAGTTGGAGTCTTAATCTTTGCCCATTCAATCTGCTGTGCATCGCCACTGCCACAACAAAATGATTTACATCTCAATATTAACCAAAAAATTTCAAATACATATAAAAACTATAACAATAGATAAATACAGGAAATTAGTCAACAAGAAGGCCGAAATGTGAAAACATATAAAAGGAAACGTACGCATCTGAGAATCGACCGGAAACAAAAAGGGATTTTTGGCATGGATATTGAAATCAAAGGTTTTGAAAATGAACAAAATATAACAGAGAAATGGCACTTGACAAGACTGAGATCAAAGCAACATAGCCAAAATTTGTATTTACTTGTTTATGTGGGAAGGTCATATTGGTTTGCATGAGGGCCGAATTTCCTTACTAGTGTCGAGGAAACAATGTGAAATTACATCATAGAGTAGATCATAAAACAGTCAGTATTTCCAAGTAGAAGACTAGCAATAATAGAAAAATGCGAAAATGAACAAAGAAAATGTCAATAAAACAACTGAAGTTTTGGAATAAAAAGAATTAAGGAAAAACGTTAACAATTATCTCAAAACAAAAGATCAAAGATCAGCTGCAGTTTCCAAATCAGAATGTTCATGATGACCATTGTGAAAATTGGAATAAAAATCACACAAAACAGATCATAAATCAGCTGGAACTATTAAAACAGACGTCATTATCTGATCAGGAGGACCAGAATTGACGCATGGGAAGATAAATAACCCCTACAAATGGACCAAAAAACAGGGGAACTATCAGAAAATTTTGAAAATGCAAAATTTGTGAAAATGAGCAGATTTTAAAAAGGCAGAATTTTCTAATCAGAATACCAACAGCTTAAATGCATGCTAAAATTTGTTCTCGATAACCAAAAACTCGATCAAATAACATCGGGGGTAAACTAATCCCAAAGCTGGATGATAAGAATATTTGAATCCCAAAGCTAGATGATCAGAATATTTGAAATAACAATTTCGTGAAATCTATCAGAATGCATTCCGAATTTTTCCAAAATTCTTGTGTCCTTTACATGCGAAAATGGACAAATCATCAGATGAAAAGGATTATAAATGAGCCAGCACATACCTGAGATAGCGAGAAACAAGATTAATGCAGCCAAATTTCTCACTTTCACTGCAATAGATAAAACACACAAATAATAGATAAATGAGAATCCCAAAGAACAAACTGGCACCAAAATGAATAGAAAACGGGAAATTCATAGGGATCTAAAACTGCTTCAATTCTTGCCTGATCTGATTGAGGCCTGCAACAGCCGATTGGAGTTTCAAGATCTTCTCAGACTCAGAACTCGCAGGTTTTGTAGCAACTGCCGCCATTAGAGAGACCTTAAAGCCGAAGAAGATGAAATGCTTCAAAATTTAATGGCAGAGAGTGTATTGAAAGGCGAACCGGAAGCAACAGAAGGAGTGAGGGCCTGGCTTTATAGGCGAAAAATAACCTAAACTACCTCAGCCTTTTGTCTCAACTCCAATATGCCCCAAACTCTGCATTGCAACTCAAAGTTCCCCGCTAATTTAAGCGTGGTTTTGATATTTCCATAGGATACTGTAATTTGGCGCGCAATCCCAATGTCATAAATGACTATTTTAGCCCTGCTTAGTCAAAATTAGGGCATACTCCTCAATGCGCGGCAATTGGGGAGAAAATGCCACGGCTTTGGACCTTTCCTAACCGGAAATAGGCATTTATGACATTTGCAAGACTTACGATGCGTCCCTATTCAAATGCGTCACTTACGACCAAAGTGTTTTAAAACTATTTGATTCGGATAAGGAATTTTTTGTTTTTTAAACCAATTTGTATCAACAATCACCTTCCAGATCGCGAGTCTGCTCAGACCGAATTAGCTTTTAGACGGTAGTGATAGCTCATTTGCCTATTATTTTTTTTTTAAGTTTATCTAATATATTTTTTAAACCTTCCTTAAATCCACCTTAAACCCTTATTTTATTTTTCCTAGATCACTTATTTGGACCAATCCGCATTGACGAGCTGACAAGGTTTTGTGGAGTAAACAATTCACCCCACGTCTTCCAAATTTTAATGTTTGTGGTTACTTAGGATACAACACATAATTAAGTCACTTTGGACATATTTTTTAAAAAAATTTGTAATCTTGCAACTCAAAAAAAATAGTATAGATATGGTGATATGTAAAGAGCTAAATTGAACAGTGAAAAAAATGAGATTTAAATAATTTATTTAAAAAATTAATTTTGTTTTTATATTTATGAATGTAATGGTAGAGATTATTGAATTGTGAAATTTTAGTTCTAGGATCCATCTCTCTGATATGGTTTTTGGATGGGGACTGCATTTTAATGGAGAGGCATCTAAATCCCAAGCTTCTTTTGCAACGGAATAAGGAACATCCCGGGTATACGTGACACGTCATCGTGGAGCACGGTAGCGCAAAGGCCACGCAAACCTCAAGCATTCGCCACGTGTTAAAGGTCAGTGGGCCCGACGTGTCCTCAAAATCAAGTTCAAGGATGCGGTGGGTCCGTCCACCCGTGGACGCTTTAGCCGCAGGTTTTAGCTCCCCGATACGAAAACTTCGGCGAAATTTGGGTTGCATCAAGGACTGCCCAAATTGGCTCCGAATTTCCCCGAAATATTATCGAGTCTGCCGGGGAACGATATTTCGGAGGCTAAATTTCGTTTTAAGGCGAACTTTGATCCGGAATATCGAAGTCTAATGTCAGTTTAATGCGAAACTTTGAGTAAAATTAAAGATGAAATTTGTGGAGGCATGGTTTGGAACTTGGCCTGAATACATGGGACTCGGTTTTTTCAAATGGAAGATTTTTTATCGTTTAATAATGTAGGATCGAGAATGATAGAAGTAAATGGTCCGAGTCCCGACAAGTAGTAGAAGTACAAAACATTTGATTTTGGCTCTAGCTAACATTGGTGCTTGCAAAAACACTCAAGTTTTGGCCCATTGTTTGTTTAATTTGAGATAAGCTTTGGCCACACCATGCACGAAACCAATGAGGCAGCTGATGCATTTGTTAAACATGGTGTTTCTCTTTTTTTTTTGTAAGTTTCTAATGATTTGATCCAATCTTTATAATCTTATGCTCTTGAAGCATTGCTTTAAAAAAAATTCATAACATTTGTCAAGAAAAAAAAAAATTTCGAATCCTGACAAGTACAAAACATTTGATTCTGGCTCTAGCTACATCAAGTGCCTGCAGAAAGACTCAAGTTTTGGGCCATTGTCTCTATATGTAGATAGAGAGAGGAGGTTTCACATGTATGTATTCTCAATTATGAATTAGTTAGATTTATTGCCAAAATTATGCGTTTTGGGGTATATACTAGCCAAGGTGCAGTAAGACTATACGTCTTAGAACGGTGATCTCAGATTCGGATCATTGATTTATATAAGAACTTATCCAGACTGAAATAGTTTCTAGATGGTATGGATCCCGGCTTAATGGGAACCTCTACAGTGTGAGCACCCTATTTAGACGCCTGCTCGAGTCACCAAGTCAATAATGCTACACAAATCTGTAGGCCAACAATATGGCTTCACCATTAGGGGTCTTGAAACACTGTGTACGTCAATGAGAGTTTGGGCTTTTGAGTGACGAATACCGCAGGGCGTAGCGCAATGTTTAAGTTCCTGATACAAAAACAAAGAAAGCTATTTCTTCATGTAAAAAGCAATGTCTCTTCAAGCACCAATGTCCATTGCGAGAAGGAGAGAGATGATTAAGTCTTAACGGTTTTACCAGGTCTTTCGTATCTATAAAATGACGGCTCATACATGGTAACGGCCTTATTATATAGAAGTAAAATTCGCCTTAAAAACTTATTGGAAAATATTGCTCAAACTCATTGGAAAAGGTCGTTGGGACGCTAGCAGACCCTCTATTGACCATCTCGACTTTGAGGAGCCTAAAAATGATAAAAAAGAATTTCAGATCCTAAAAATAATACATCTTATAACACATTATTTGAAGATTCAGAAAGCATTTACCCAACTACAGCAACTCCCGCTTTCTTAGGAAACAAAACTCACAATAAACCCATGAAATTCCACAAAATGGCCACAAATCATGCCTACGATCAATTCCCAAAGCAGTATAATACCCTACACGTGTGGATACCCAACTTGAAATGGAGTGTGGCAATTTGGAAGATTATAGAAGTGTGGATGTCTTCTATCCCATGAGGATACATTACTTATCAAATGGGAACTTTGTTGTTTTCATACAAATTTATCAAAATACACATAATAGATCAGCTTTTTTTATCATCGTCGGAGCTTTTTTTTTAACTAATTGGAGTTAGCTGCACAAATTTTGGAATATCATTCTGATGTATTAAGGGTCATACCCTTCACATTGAGGTCATAAGTCTCTATATCTTTTTTCATACACGTAAGATATCAACTATTCAATATGTTATTCATATATTTTGACTTAATTTCAAAATACCCATAAAAATACACATATCCATGAGTTAAAACGGTTGAAACAAAGGTAAATTGTTAAATTGTTGAAAATTAAGGTGCATTTTGATAAATTTCCCTATTTTCGTTAGTGTGTATGATGATCTCTATGTGTACATTTGAAAGAGAGATTCAGTTTATTCACATATACACGGAAGCAAACCTGAAAGCAAATACACAAGATCTAATCTTGCTTCTCAATGAATTTTGTAAATACTGATACGGTTGAGGACTGCTTTGTATCGTGCATTCATAAGTAAAGAAAAGTTACAAGTTAAAAAGACCAAAAAGAAGAAGAAAAAACACGAGAAATTTATCAAAGTACACCTAAGAGATGAATTATTTAACATTTTATCTATTTATTTTGATTTAATTTCAAAATGGCCATCAAAGTATACAATTATCACGAGTTGGAATAGCTAAAAATGGTAAAAGAAAAGCTAAATAGTCTATATCTTAAATGTATTTTAATAAATTCCCCAACTCAAAAACGAAAGTTATCGTACTTTCAAGACTAAAAAAGAACAAGAAAAAAACAAAGAAATATATCGAAGTACACCTAAGAGATGAGTTATTTGAGTTATTTAACATTTTATATATTTATTAGATTTAATTTCAAAATGGCCATCAAAGTATACAATTATAATGAGTTTGAATAGTTAAAAATGATAGAAAAGTTAAATAGGTAATATCTTAAATGTATTTTAATAAATTCCCCAACTCAAAAACGAAAGTTGTCGTACTTTCATGAGATGGAACTTACTCGAGTAGTATTAGTCGAAGATTGTATAAAACTCCAAAAAAAATTAAATATATATATATATATATATATATAAATTAAATTTTTTTTTTTTGAGGGGTCATCCGTAATAAATGAGTCTTTAACACTTTTATCCTTCAAGGTGTTGACAACCTGTGACGAATATGTGACACTTCTTGGCACAAAAAATGGATCTTTACGATATAAAATACTTTTTACTAAACTGATATTCAAAATATTTAAGAACATTTTTTCTTCCTATATGTTGTAAACTATTTAAGGGCCCGTTTGGATATCTGAATTTTTCAATTATGGTAATAGTCAATCTTTGAATTGAGATTTCTTCGAAATATCAATTCCTTGTTTGGATCGCTTCTGATACAAATCAAGAAAATGCAAATTCCTTGTTTGGATTATCTAGAATATCTTTTTCTTGGAAATGCAAATTCTCTCTCTCTCTCTAAATTTTGAGATAGTTTATCTCTCTAAAATTTTTTAAAATTTTAATACACTCTTTCAAAAACTTAAAATTGGAAAAATTTTTGAGATAGTTTATCCCTCTAAAACTTTGTAGATAGTTTATCTCTCTAAAATTTTATCTACTTTCTCTCTCTAAAATTTGATATAATTTTCTCTCTAAAATTTTGCAATACTTTCTCCCTCTAAACTTAAAATTTGAGATACTTTACGTTTATAAAATTTTTGAGATAGTTTCTCTATCTAAACAATTTTAGATAGTTTCTCTTTTAAAACCATTTTAGATAGTTTATCTCCCTGAAATATGATATAGTTACTCTCTCTCAAATTTTAAGATACTTTCTCTATCTAAAACTTAAAATTTGCGACAGTTTATTTCTAAAACTTTTAAGATCGTTTATCTCTCTAAAGAAAATTTTGATACTTTTTCATTCTAAAATCTGATATAGTTACTCTCTCTAAAATTTTAATATGCTTTCTCTCTCTAAAACTTAATTTTTAAGATAGTTTATCTCTCTAAAAATTTTAAGTAATTTCTCTCTCTAAATTTTAAGATATTTTTTTCTCTCTAAAACTTAAAATTTGAGATAGTTTTTCTATCTAAAATTTTTCAAATGGTTTCACTCTCTAAAACTTTTAGGTACCTTCTCTATCTAAAATTTGATATAGTTTCTCTATCTAAATTTTAAGATATTTTCTCTCTCTAAAACTTAAAATGTGAGATAGTTTCTCTCTCTAAAAGTTTCAAATAGTTTCTTACTTTAAAATTTTAATATA